TTGTAACTTGTTCAGTTATCAAAACTTTATGGTCCAGACCCTGGACCCTTTAGGTATCTCTGTAATCTTTTGACTACCGCCCACAGGGTGGGTATGAGGCACATAATAGATATTAAACTAAAGAAACTCTTTAGATGCATGATAGAACTGATGCATTATCACAGGCGTATGTCTTCAAGGAGGAAGTAGATTACAGTCTTGGGCTGTCAGTTAGTGATTTGAAAACAGCTCCCAAAAATTCCAAGGAGGAAGTAGATTACAGTCTTGGGCTGTCAGTTAGTGATTTGAAAACAGCTCCCAAAAATTCCAAGGAGGAAGTAGATTACAGTCTTGGGCTGTCAGTTAGTGATTTGAAAACAGCTCCCAAAAATTCCCTCAGCCCTTCAAATAAAACTGAAATAATAAAAGCTCTTCTTCAAAAAGTCTCCTGCGGCTGGCTGTAAAAGCCTGGCTAATCGAGCCCTGGTCCACCACAAGGCCTGGTCATGGACCAGGCTGCAAGGGTGTTGACCCACAGAACACCCTCCAGGTATACTCAAGTACTCCTCCATCCCCTTCCAACCAGAAAGCACTGCCCATGCTTTTCACAAATATAATATAGATAACGTTGTACAAGTGATGGTTGTTTTGGGAACATTCTGAAAATAAGTTGCAAAAGTTGGAGGAATTTGGGAAGGTGTGAAAGACAAGTAAATTAAATGTATAAAAGAGCAAGGTGATGAGTAACAAATACTAGGTGATGAAAGATTGGATGTTGCCCAAAATCCTGTGTATCCTATGATTATTGGGCTTTTATTATTGTATACAGCCTCGCCTCGCTTAGTGACGTACTTGTTAATCCTTAAACTGTCCAAGCAGATCTATGTTCATGTGCGTAGTGCTCCAAAAGTAGATCTACTTTCTTTTACATATTTTCAAATATAACAAAAAAAAAAGTAGATCAAAGTTTTTTTTACATGCTTTCAAATGTAAAAAAAAAAAATCTACTTTTTTACATACTTTCAAATGTTGAAAAAACGTAGATCTACGTTTGGACAGTTTAAGGCTCTCTGACCAGCATGCATACCTAATTAATATATATTAGAGCTGATTTCCTCTATTCTGTTTATTACAGTATACAGTACACTATTATATAAACATTTCAAAATATACTGAAAATGTTATAAATGGTGCAAAAGTGACATTAAAACAATATCAAAGATGGTTGACACAAACCCACTACCATTATAGTATGCTCCTCACTTAATAATGAATTTATTTACCAGTGTGGTCTTAGGAACAGAACTCTGTCATTAAGTGAGGAGAGGCTGTACTGTGTAATACAGGGATGAGAAATACTCTCTAAATCTCATTATCAGAGTGGACTGAAAAAGTATGGAGGAAGTAATGTAGTTGAATATTTAGGAGGGGGCCATGTCAGTATACTGTATGGGTCTATGAAAGATGAGGGGGGGGGAGGTTGGAAAAAGGTAGATGGAGACTTGACACTTCTTTGCATAGACTTTTATCTATTGTTGGTGGATAAAAAAAATGTACCACTGTAGTGGTTGTTATGCTCCCGGGTCCATATACAGCCTTTATCATACACTTTCTTATTGGAGCATAACTATAGGCAGAGTTAGAGATAGTAAAAGTCTTCAATAAAACTTCTTTTAATTAAGCAGTTAATTAAATCATAAAACATAAGGCATATAAAATTACACCGTTACAGTATTTTTGTCCAGAACGCTTACTGCATGTTCTATATTACCTAGTTCCTAGACAATACCTTGAAATGCATGGTTATAGAGAGACTTTAAATATACAGATACTCCTTTGGAGTAGAATATTTAGTCTTCATAGAGTATTACACAATTTGACAGAATATACATACCAGATGAGAATCATCAGCAGTCAGCTTGCAAGAGCTGAGTAGGAGTCTTGACTCGTTGGCTGGTTGTTTCACACTCTTTCCACTCTACAGCGAGGTGGAGGTTAGTTAGGTCATGTGACCTCTACCAGCACATTGATGCAAAAGGAGGAGGGGGGAGGGGTGTATAACCATCAAACTGTTTATTGGGGATTTGACTCCTAATGTTTCACCGGTATGCAGACCGATAAACAAGTGACTTCATATACTAGAAGTTAACCCACAGTGGCCACATAAAAAAATAATCTTAATACAAGGATGTTTATTTCCAATTTAGCTAATAAAGGAAATGAATGCAATGTAATATTAAAGGAATTGAAGGTTAACAGTAGTGGTAAAGTAGAGGTGCAACAGTGGTACTAACAGTTGCACGTGAGCTTTGTATGAAGTTTGAGTTGCAATGAGGAGGTGGCTGGAAGCAGTGGAGATCTCATGTTTGATAGTACAGTACATGTATTGTGTGAGGTAATTATGCAGAGAATTAGGGGTGTAGAAATCAGAACTTTGGGGTTATAAAAGATGTACACATGTAGTTCAGAGGGCAAAGGAGTTGGTGCTGTGGGCATTTGGAGAAGCTGGAGCAGGATAGGATGGCAGTGGGTGTATAAATCCTGGGTGGAAGGGATTATCCCAGGAAGAGTTGGAGAGTGTGTGAAAGTTTTAAGTGGAAGGGGGGGCTTGAGCATCCAGCAGGCATATGAACATTTTCGTTCAGTTTGAGTGGAGAGAAGTGGTTTTAAGGATTTGACGTGTTGGTGCAAACAAGGTAGCACTTGTGAAATTATTCGGGGAAACCGGTTAGCCGGACTTGAGCCCTAGAGGTGAAAAGTATGATGCCTGCATTTTGTAGGATGGATAGGGATGTAGTTCAGAGGGTCTTTTAAATTGTGATGTTAGTTTAATATGTTTATTATGCACCCCATACCCATCCTGTGGGCGATAGTCAAAAGATTACAGAGGTACATAATTGGTCCAGGGACTGGACTCTAAAGTTTTGATAGCTGAGCAAGTTACAAAGGTAATGAACTAGATCTGGTCATAATCATGACCAAGTTACAAAGGTAATGAGCTCCAGGTAGAGCTGGTCACACTCATGAATAATTGCAAAGGTAATGAATCATAAACACATTAATCATGAGAATTTACAAAGGTAATGAGCTCCAGGTAGAGCTGGTCAAAATCATGACAAGTTTCAAAGGTAATGAATGATAAACACGTTATCACATGATTACAATCATAGACAAATTACAGAGTAATGAGCAGTTAACAAACATAGCAGGGAATTCATCCATTGCCCCAACAACAGATGTTGCTAGGTGCCTGTCTCTCCTCGGTAGACAGCCATTGCAAACAGCAGCAAGTTGCCCCGGGATCTGCTGCTTGCACGAGCACCATCGACCCTCCCCAAGAGGTCCAAGAAGCCAGTGACTCCGTTAGCAGCCCGATGGAGAGCTCCCCTAGGGACATGTCAGCGTCCTGGTGGACGCCAAGTTGATTGAAGATCCCAGGCCCTCGTGTGCACGGATGTTGAAGCTTGAGGAACTGAGTACACACTGCCTGTGGCACACCTGACAGCTGCCTCGCGGTCGAACTCCACGATGCTGTCCCTGTAGTGGAAGTTCCTGTGAGCCCGGCACTCCCTGCAGTGCCATCGCTGACATCGTGGGTTAGGGGAGAAGTACCCTCTACAGATGGGGTGGCACTGGGAGTTGGGTGGGTGAGGCAGGGGAGACACGCAGGGGTGGGGCGTTATGAGAGGGTCACTGTTAAATTGTGATGTCCGCATGCTTCTGACAAGACAGCTATTGAATTACAGTGGACCCCTGCCTTACGAACGCATCGCGTTACATTAAATCCGCCATATGAAGCATTTGAACGCAAAAATTTTGCCTCGCCTCACGATAAAAAAAAACTCGCCTTACATGATTTGTTCAGGATGCATCCCATGTGTGGCCTCAGCGCCAGTGTTTACAACCCTGCCAGTGCGGTCGCATCTACGCATACATTCGGTACATTTCACATTATCCCAGTGTTTTTAGTGCTTGTAACTGCAAAATAAGTCGCCATAGACCCCAAGAAAGCTTCTAGTGCCATCCCTGTGGTAAAAAGGGTGAGAATTAGTATGGAATTGAAAAAAGAGATTGAGGAAATGTGCAGAGTGGGTTGAACCGCAAACCTTTACGGATGAAAATCACCCTGACACAGCTACTGCAAGCCGTGTTGGCAACCTGTACAATGAGTGTTATGGCCCATTTTGGGAAAGTCTTAAAGGAACGGGAGGTACAGAGCTCTATGGACAGATTTGTTGTGTGACAGAGGTCCAGTGACTCAAGCTGGTCCTAGTGGCATTAAAAGAAGGGAAGTAACTCCATAAAAGGACTTGCTACCTCAAGTCCTAATGGAAGAGGATTCCCCTTCTAAACAATAACTTCCACTCTCTCCCCTCCTCCCATCCCATCAATCATCACCAGATCTTCAATAAAGGCAAGTGTCATGTAGTATTCTATTCTTAGTAGAGTAGTAATTGTGCATGTCTTCTTCAGTTTGTGTGTATTAAAATTAATATTTCATGTGGTAATTTTTTTTTTTTTTTCATACTTTAGGGTGTCAGGAACGGATTAATTTAATTTCCATTATTTCTTATAGGGAAAATTAATTTGGGTAATGATAATTTCGGCTTACGATGAGCTCTCAGGAACGGATTAATATCGTAAGGTGGGGGTCCACTGTAATTATTTTGAATGTCCCCTTTCTTTGGATCACACACTACTATGGTGGGAGACAGCTGGTATGGTAAATCAAGATAAGTAATGGGTGTATGTTAACCCTTAAACTGTCCAAGTGTAGATCTACGTCCACGTGCGGGGGGGGGGCTCCGAACGTAGATCTACGTTTTTTTACATGCTTTCAATGGGGAAAATCAAGGTCGGAGCGCTACGCACATGAACATAGATCTACGTTTGGACAGTTTAAGGGTTAAGTGTTAAATAGATTATGGTTTGACTATCAGAAATAATAAATAAGTAGTAGATATAATCAGGAGATTAATATAAATAAGTACCGTCATTAACCTGAGATCTTGCGGTTTCAGCTTTCCGCCACCAGAGGTCCCTGAAGTGTGGGAAAAGTTTGGCATCCAGTGGCTGTATGACACTATAGCCGACCAGTGGGAGAAGTTGGTGAAGGGACCAGCACCCAGTAGCATACGTTTTGGTGGCTATTATTCAGTCTTGATTCGTCCTGGTCTTAGACTAATATCCATCAACACCAATTACTGTTACAGGTTTAACTGGTAAGTCAATGTAGTTGAGGTCATATACTACACTATATGTATTCTGTATAACTTTCATTGACATTTTAAAGCTGTATGTTGGAATCTAATCTCTTCATTAATGCATTTTTTCTCCAATTTTCTTCAGTGCTTCTGGATCATATTTAGAGCACATTCTATTGAAATTTGAATTTTTGTTTGACTTGCTCTGCATTCCACAGAACTAGTTAGAGTTCAGGACAAGTCTGAAAATTTAGTATAGCATGTTCCTTTTCAGATTTTTCTGCAACTTTATTTTCACTTACTAGGTTTCTGAAACACTTCTAGGCATCATTGTTAGTGTTAACTAAATAAATTGAGATCATGTTATAATAATTATGAAAAGTGCTCAACTGTGGCATATCGTTGTATACACAATTTTCAGTCTTGTAACTCTTGGTAGAGATAAAAAGTTTGACTTAAAAGTTTCTTCCTTTTTATTTCTTGCTGAGAGATGCAACCTGATGCTGTTAATGTTGAATCCTAACCATGGCTTCTGGTGGTCTTATTGTTTTTGTATTTCAGACTAATTGATGTCTGAAGACTAATGTAATTGTTTAATTTTTGGGGGTTTTTCTGTACTTTCTGTAAATTGTATTATTGGTAGAATTATAGACTGTAAAGTAAAAGGACACAAATGCAACTAATGTGACATTTTACTGTGGCAACGTTTTGCTCTCCAGGAGCTTTATCAAGCTGTTACAAACAATTCATGGACACAAGGGCCTTAAATCAGCATTAATCACCATTTCTAGCACAATTAAACAAAAACAAAGGCGGCTTCATTCCTGAGGTCTTAGCGAGAATTCTCCTGAAAACAATAAAAACTGGCATCACAGTTTCTGCTGCTAATACTACACAAGCACATTACAGAGAAGGAACACTGAAACAGACCTTCTTGAATCCAACCACCAGTATTTGTGTAACCTATTTTTATGCTACCCAAGTAATAGCTTTTATAACTTTTTACTCGTATGCAAGTCGATTGTTCTACCATATTGTATTGCTACTAATACTACAACTAATTTTACTACTACTACTACAACCACTAGTATTACACCTCACTCTAAGCCTATGTATACCCTCTGTGTCCATGTATTGTTTGTAACTGCTTGATGAAGTTCCTGGAGAGCAAAACATTGCCACAATAAAATGTCAAATTAGTTGCATTTGTGTCCTTTCTGTAAATTGCTTAGCCTGATACACCTAGGCATGTGTGCTGTATAGTATACTAAGTATATATGTATAGAAGTGTGTGTATGTGTTTACTTCCCTATATGTGGTTGTTGTGAATAAGAAATTTTTTAAAGAACTTCAGAATGTGGCCTGTTACCATTTATTTCTTATGCAACAAGATTTTTGGATCCGAGTTATTTAAAGGTATTTTAGAGTCTAGGGGAAATAATTTCAACTGGGAAACTCCATAGAATAATATTCAAATTTATTAAAGTATTTAAATACAATACTTTATCTTCTCTTTGTAGTTAATGTAACTTAATACTGTGTACAATAAATTTACCATATACATTTAGTTCAAAATCATGGAAATGTCACATTAATAAGGAAGTTTAATTATTCTTCCTGTAATTAAGACTTCAATAACATTTACGTCTTTGTCTTAACAAGACTGTAAACTCAAAATACAAAAGGTACAAGATTTAACAAGACCTTTGAATCTGGCCGTAAAGTATCTCTATGGATTACTGAACTGACCAAGAATATAAATATCAAAAGAATTTTTCAGAGCAATTAGGAACAAACTGAGTCAGCTCTAGAGTCCAATTCTCAAAACCATTCAAACTGTACACCGTAAGAGCCAATATACGATCAGTTGTCAGGGCTAGAGCAGGGAGCGGACTGACTACTTGCCAGTCTGTTGACGCGTCGTCAGTTTGGATCAGCTGACCCAAACGTCAGCCAGCCGGACATAAACAATTGAACAATTCACCGGATGGTTCCGAGACTTAAACTCTTTATACACAAGAAATCCTACCTAACAATAATAATAAAATATAATAGTGATAATAACAAAATAGTGATAATAACAATAATAGTGATAATACCATGGTATTTTTCATATATTAACAGATAATAATATAACGCCGAAAGTCTCTATTTTAGCTATAAACTGGGACTTTCGCGCTATAATATTAAGTGATGAACATACAGTGGACCCCCGGTTAACGAACTTTTTTCATTCCAGTAGTATGTTCAGGTGCCAGTACTGACTGAATTTTTTCCCATAAGGAATATTGTGAAGTAGATTAGTCCATTTCAGACCCCCAACCATACACGTACAAACGCACTTACATAAATACACTTACATAATTGGTCGCATTTGGAGGTGATCGTTAAGCGGGGGTCCACTGTATTCTCTTACAATAGTTAAATAACACAGGATGACCAATTTCGAAGATATAACACCCCCCCCCCTGTACGACAATAGGTCGCAGTAGGGAGTTTGCAAGCGTCCTCGGTAATATCTCTTTTATAGTAAGCGTCCTCTTGGTAAATAAGGCATGTAGGACGACGGGAGAATGGAGAAGAAAGAACTCGATCAGCATGATTATTGGCCAGAGGATGAGCTTTTGGAACAATGGCCGGAAGAACTATCTGGAGTGGCTTCCATCACAATTCGAGAATAGGAGTCTCAGACATGACTGTCAGGGTCATCCATGTGGACTTAATACTTCGTCCCATCAACGAAACGGCTTTCATAGTCATACTGTCAATATAAAAGAAAATCATTAACAAAAATATATAATATATATATAAATTAGGCTCTAAGAGTACTCATTTCTTAACTTTACATTTTAAGGTATACATTTTTTTTTTTCAGGGGCGAGAAAGGGCATCAGCAATTATGTTAAGGGATCCACTCAAGTGTTGAATACTAATCAGATAAGGTTGGATTCTCAGAACCCACCTGAGGATCCGGGTGTTCTTTGATTTCATAGAATTAATATAAATTAAAGGGTTGTGATCAGAAAATACCGTAATTTTATGGGGGGAGGTTCCCAGATAGATGTCAAAATGTTCCAAAGATATTACTAGGGCAAGAGCTTCTTTCTCTACAGTGGCGTAATTCTTTTGGTGACGTTTCAACTTTGAAGAAAAATAAGATATAGGATGCAAAATATCAGTAGAGGGGGATTTCTGAAGTAACACCGCCCCCACAGCAAAACCGCTGGCATCAATGTGTAAATAGAAGGGTTGATTAAAGTCAGGACTTTTCAATATGGGTGACGAAGAAAGCAACCGCTTCAACCGATTAAAAGCTATCTCACAATCTTTCGTCCAGCAAAACTTCATCTTACTACTGGTTAACTCAGTAAGAGGAGATGCAACCTGAGAAAAATTAGGACAGAAACGTTGATAATAACCAGTCATTCCAAGGAACATCTGTATAGACTTTCTATCTTGAGGGATAGAAAACTCGGCAATGGCTCTAACTTTTACATCAACAGGACGTACCTCGCCTTGACCTATACAAAAACCGAGGTATTTAATCTTGGCTTGTCCAAACTGACACTTGGCTAAATTTATGGTGAAGTTGTACTTTTCTAACTTCTTAAATAAGGTTTCCAGGCGAATTAAATGTTGCTCCCACTCATTGCTATATATAACAAGATCATCTAGATATGCATCCACTCCTTCTAAATCATTGGTCAGCAGGTTCATCAGGCGCTGAAAGGTAGAGGCCGCGTTACACAACCCGAAGGGCATAACACGATAATTGAATAATCCGCCTTGTATAGTAAATGCGGATATTTCTTGGGCTCGCTGGGTAAGCGGCACTTGGTAATAGCTCCTTAATAAATCCAGGCGGGTGACATAGGCGGCTCCTGATACTGTCTATTAGATCATCAATACGGGGTAGTGGGAAACCATCTGGTACCGTGAGAGCATTAACCTTACGATAATCGGTGCACATTCTAGAAGTTCCATCAGGCTTGGGAACTAATATACAGGGCGAGGCCCACGGACTTTTACTCCGTTCTGTGAGTCCATGGGACAACAAAAATTCTACTTCTTTGTTTAATGTTTCTTGTTTGAGTGGACTTGCCCTATAAGGTGACTGTTTGCAAGGCTTTGCTCCTTGTACATCTATGTCGTGAATTCCCAATGTACAACACCTAGGGACGTCATCGAATAAAACCTCACAACGTAATATCAAGTCTTTTGATATCTCTTGCTTTCTTCAAATCAAGGTCCATAAGAAAGGTATCAAGAGATTGCAATGTCTCTGAATTTTTTAAATGTACTTCTATCGCTTTAGAGATGCTGGGCAGACTTACATTTTCAGTTTCAGCTAAAGGAAGAACTGTCGTAACTGGTACGATACTAGGGTGGTAAGCCTTAAGTTGGTTTATGTGATAAGTACGTTTTGCTTTTCTCTTTCCTGGAGTTTGTAGTACATAATTAACCTCATTGAGCCGCTCAATCACTTCCAAAGAACCTTCGTATCTAGGTTGCAGAGCGTGTCCAGGTAAGAATTTCTGTGCCATCACACTGTCACCTGGTTTGAAGAAACGAGAGCATGTGTGTTTGTCATAACAATGCTTCATCTTGGATTGGGCCTTAGCTAAGTTTTTTGAGGCTAATTCCCTCAGTTGTGACGAATGCTTTTGCATTAGAGTTGGAGTTGTTTTAAACGAGGGTTCTGATTTTCCGGTCCATGAATCTTTTAGTACGGTGAGGGAGCCGCGTACTTGGTGTCCGTAAATTAATTCAAATGGACTAAACCCAGTGCTTTCTTGTTCACTTTCCCTTAAGGCGAACAAGAGGAATGGTATTCTTTTGTCCCAATCTCTGGAAAACTGCTCGCAGTACGCTCTCATCATTGATTTTAATGTTTGATGAAATTGTTCGAGGGCTCCTTGCGACTGAGGGTGATAAGCAACAGAAAATACGGACTTAATTCCGAGGCGAGATAAGGCATCACGAAACATCTTAGAGGTAAAATTTGAACCTTGATCGGA